CAAATCAAGTGTATTGAATAGAACTATCATTATTAGAAGGGTTACTTTGAAAAAAATGTATGAATCTGAGAGATAAAGTAGATTGGAGCTTTATATTTAAGACCAAAATAAAAGTCAAATAAGATTTTATATTAAGAATCGGAGGTAGTAGTAATTATTGGATTGGCTTGAAAGATAGCGCATGGGAAACGGATGTGGGTTTTCATTTATTTAAATAATAATAACTTTCTTTTTCATTAAAAAAGTATTAATTTACTCTTCGCGTGAGAAAGTTAGTGCGAAAGAAAATAAAGCATAGCATTTGATGTCTTGCTTTGAGCATCATCCCTCCACGTTTTGTAGTTTTCTACATCTATATTAGTTGGCTTTATTTTAATTTCCATTTTGCAGTATCTGGTTGATAATTATATTTATACGTATGTGTGGATATATATCATTGTAATATCTACGATGTATGGTTACAATTAGAATTGTTACTCAGAGTGTCCACCTTGATATGAGTCGACGTAGATGAGAAGAATTTAATTTAATATTTTTAAGTGTAAAGTGTCACAATCATTGTATATTTTATTATTACTTCTTAGCATAGGGGACATCCAGGCATAAAAATTTGGGTTTTTGGAACCAACTAAAAATTTGGGGTTTTTACTGCCAAGCTATTGGTTGAGGTAGTAAGCGGTCTCATCTCTATAAATAGAAAAAAACAAGTTTAAATTTTCAAAAGAATACTTGTTAGAAGAGATGAAAACCTTTTACGCTTTAAGTCTTTCAAATACTCTTGATTAAAAAAAAAAATTGGGGTCTTTTAAGGCTTAGAATTTTAAGTTTATTAATCTTTTATTGAAAACTATTCGTTTGGATCTATAAGAACTTAACTTCTGGAAAAGTTGAATTGGGCCGACAAATCCAACAAGCGTCATGTAGTTAACGGGCGATTCAGATATTGTCACGTATCTTACTAAGACGTGTCTTGGGCCGCCTTTTTGAAGTGCACAACTAGCTGGCCCAAGAAAACTACAGAAACCGTTTTTTGTACTGTCCACATAAGATTTATACACACATACCCACAACAAACAAGATTGCATTCGAATTCCTGTTGGAAGATATCCACATTTAGTATCTGACAATATCTTCAATAGAATTGCTTTTAATAAAAAGATACCTATACTTTAGCAAAAAAAAAAAAAGAAGATTGCACTGCACCCAAAAAGATATAAAAATAAACAAGATTGTATTAACAATAAAAGGACTAAAGTACAAGGTTAGATCATATAATCCAAGGTGAAAATCCAAATGTAGAGTAAATAAAATGTCCTTGTAAGAAAACATCAAAATGTGGGAATTAAATGCACCTTGTTCTGCCAATGACCCTTAGATCAGTTGGCACTGGGGCCTCCATAGTGAGGCTAGAGAGCGGTTGGATCTCGTACTGTGCGCATGTTTCCTATGCAATAAAAAGATGAGGCTTACTAACGGGGGTTGGCCAAGTGGTAAGTAGCTTGGAACCGCTTATGCGAGATCTCGAGTTCGAGTCTCAACGTATACAGAAATCTCTGTTGAAAGACTCACCTACTATAGTCCAGGTGCGCGACGCGGGTCAGATCCAGATGTAGTCGGAGCAAAGTTCCGGTGAACTGGAGGCAACCAAAAAAAAAAAAAAGATGAGGCTTGGTTCTGAAAGCTCTAATTGTCAAATCGCAGAGCTAGAGCTGCACGGTGTGTCGTCCATATTTATTCCTCCATTTGATGCTGTGAAGAATATGAGTCCATTTTGATTAATTATCCAGCATCGCACACATTTCATATTTTTTTATTTTTTTCCCCATCAAAAGTTTGTCCACCCTACATAATGAGGATTAGAATTTGAAAGATAAGGGGAAGCTAGAGTGATAAAATATCTTTAATTTGATCACTGTTTCCATCTGTGTACATCCTGAAAAGCGAAGAAAAGATGTGCGAGGCTATGTTTGAATGAAGGAAAAAGTGAGAGATAAAAAAGGAATGAGGGAGTACTAGATAGGAAAATGGAGAGCTTTTGCTATTAGCATTCTTTTCTCCCTGATTTCCTTTCCCCATGAAAAAAGGGTTAGGATCATGATGACAGAAAACTGATGCGCAGATATGTGGATAAACAAGCAAACCATAAACTTTTGGAGGGGATTCATCGTGCAAAAACATGATCAATGATTTCTTGTTTAGAACAACCAAAATGGACACATCTTCAAGTTATTACAATTGGGCGTGCAAACAGGTCACACCAAGTTAAACTTTAGCTAAATAGGCATGAGCTTGTAACAAGAGTTAAAACCTTGAGCGTAAATCTGAACCTACATATATGCTTTATTTTAGGCTCGCATTCAAAAGACTTGGCGGGCTTGAAGTTTTTTTAAAAGCCTATTTATAATGTAAGCCTTTAAAAAACCTTATGTTGTAAGCTTGAAGGTGGTAAATAGATTTTGAGCCTATTAAAACCTATACAAATGTAGCTTTTAGTACACTTTAATGCTTACATATTTTGCTATATATTAATAAAATAGAATTTAAAAAATTAATCAGGCCAAGCCTGTAGACTTTTAGGTCAAACTTTAAATTTAAAAGCCTAGCCTAATTACCTTAACAAGCTTTTAAATAGGCTTTAGCCTTAACTATATGCTAAATAGTTCAGGTCATATCAAGCCTCCCATCAGGCTGGTATATAATCAATGGATGAGCTTCCAAATAAAAATAAGATATTTCTCTAGTCTTTAACATAAAAGCTACTTAACTAATTTGGAGAGATTAAAAAAAAAAATAAGCTGCTTAATTTTGATAAATGTAACATGATTTTCCTCTAATATATAACATTATATTATATATTATTTTATAAATTAGATAAATTAGTTTGGAAAAAATGATAAATATGAGAGATAAAATGAATTATTAAGGTCTTATATTTAGAACAAAAACTAACTCTAACTAGTTGGCTCTTACATTTAGGACCAAATGAATACTTTACTAGCATCTTAATCTTCTATATATAAAAATGAAAAACCTCAAATGGGTTAAGATGAAAGTGAATTGGTAAAACTACTAGGATGTTGATTAACTAGAAGGTTGAAACCGTCTTTAACCTTGTATTCTCCATTCTTTATGCCTTAGATAAGCTTGTCATCTTGGTGTGCAAAAGGAAGAGGGGCGTTGAGAATGATATTTGTCGCAGGACTACTATTTATATATGTGTGTGCGTTGCAAATTTAGGGGCTCATTCTAGATTTTGTCTGGCCAAGGAGATGGTTAATGCAAATGAGATCCCAACACAACAAAGATTAGGATTAATTAGAGTGGTTTGGAGATTAATATTTGAGGGATACCATATAGAGGATCATGATTCACAGGGATGTTTGTTCCGTTGCCAATCTTCCATTTTAACTTGGGAATATGATTAAATCTGCACGATAATTAATACCCTTAATTACTAAACCATGACGAATTATTGTAAGGCTTTATAATAATGTTAGGAGTATTCATGTTGATACATCTTTCTTTTACCCTATATCTGGTACGAGGAAAATGAAAGAAAAGGGAGAGGAGAAAAAAATTTTAATAAGCTCAATTTGAAAAATTAAAAAGATGGGGTTATAAAATTTTGATAAAGAAAACATGTAAGATAAAAGAGTAAAAGAAATTAATTAAAAGCTGTTCATCCCACCTCTCTATTTTTTTCATATGGAAACTCATTAAAATTTTTCTACCCCTTTCTTCCCCCTTCATTTTCTTCATACCAAACAGACTCTTATCTTGCAATGAATGAGAATTATATATGATTGATGATGCACCAGTTTTGTTTGGCCAGCTATGAGGGAATTATTGACCATTGAAGTAGGTCTAATTAGTGATTCCCAAACCTCCTTTATTCGGTAGGAGTAAACAGCAAGCTTCTATTTTAAAGATGAATCTTCGTTTTATCATCCAAATCTAAAAAAAAAAAACCAAAAAAAAAAAATCTACGCAAGCATGGTCAATAAAATTCACAGAAGTAATAATAGAGATAGATGCATATCTCTTTCTGGTCAACTGATAACTAACTGATCAGCCGCCAATTCTATACGGAATCACCACTTCGACAATTAAGCCCCGCAAAGTGCGGAAAGTAAATATATATATATATATATATATTTATAGAACATCACCTAAACAACCATATGCTTGACAAGTTTAATTAAGACTAACGTTGGCTGATTAAAAAAGTCCAACAATAACTAACTCTTGCAATAGTCCATTGATTATTGGCTTTCCTAGCTCTGCCATGGTTTTCTATTCTCCACAGGAGCAAATTTATAGCTGTCCTAGTCATTAATTCAGCATTTCTTCCCCTAAAAGAGGCATTTGATTTTATTTGAAAATTATATAGCTTGGTTTTGTATATATGCATTGTACGGAGGAATTTACTGTGACAACTGAGTTGTATTGTTCATGGTTTTATCAATAAATAGAGTATATGTCCCTTGTCATAGATTTTATATTTTGTAACAAAATTAAAATTATAATATAGTGAGAATTTTGTTTATGGGTGATATACGTAAATATCTATATGAACATAATTAGCTTTGAAATTAAACTCATTTAAATTTTTCTACCAATTGTGTGATCCAAACTAAACAATTTTTGTCATATGTTGCAGTCAGCAGATGTCCCTCATTTGTCGCGCAAAGCCATCGGCTTGACTTTAATTCAATTCAAATTAAAGTCGAACTCAAATGTCTCCTATTATATAATAATTCACAATAATTCACATCGTTGAAAATTCCACCTTCCCTCTAAATATTCTCTTACAAAATATCATAAAACCCTTAAATGCCCTTCAAACGATCCCTATAAATACACTTGCTGGCTAAACTACACTTTCATCCTCTTCCAACAATACATCAAGCTGCCTGCAACTCTCCAAAGCCCTAATTAAGCTAATTGATTTTGGCCATCCCACCGTCTTGTTTTGATATATCCTCCCATATGGCCTTGATGAAGATTAGCTTGATGGGTTTTGTGACAGTTGTTCTTCCATTATTATTATCTCTCGCTGTGCAAGGAACTCTTGGTGAGTACTCCTAATTCCATCGACACCCAAAATTTAATATTCCCTCCGATCTCATATATAAGCAACAATCTCTTGGATAGAGTTGATTCTGTATATAAGCAATACTTTCTATTTATGTAAAAATTTGATGCACTTTTCATTTTTACCCTTGATCGATTACATCTCTTTTTCATCATTTTTCGCACTCAATCTCTCTTATATCTTTCCTCGCACATTCTCTCTCTCTCTCTCTCTCACTCATCATCTTTTAACTAATTTTAACCAATATTTTAATCTACCTGATTTGATTAGTTATTGCTTATATATAGGACTAGAAAAAGTAATATATATTATATCAAATAGCCATAGGACTGATCATGAGGTAAAGCTAGTTCTCAAATACGTACACATTTAACTTACAGCTAACCAGAAGGCTCATAATAATATTGCAGGAGGGGTAGAATGTGAGGGTCTAGGCAAAGAGAAGTGCTCGTTTGCAGTATCATCTGCTGGAAAACGATGTGTTCTTGAGAAGATAGTGAAGAGGAGCGGCATGGAAGCATATATCTGCAGATCATCGGAGATTGAAGCAGACAAACTGATGGATCACATCGAGTCTGATCAGTGCGTCGAGGCCTGTGGCTTGGACAGAATGTCCCTTGGAATCTCATCAGACTCTCTCATTGACTCTAACTTCACCAAGAAACTCTGCTCCACTGAGTGCTACCACAATTGCCCTAATGTTGTTGATTTGTACTCCAAGCTCGCCGAGGTCGAAGGTATATAAACACTAACTAGATCCTATAGTTTCTTTGCCTTTGATTTTGATAATTGTTTCATCAATTTGGCCTCATATATAATGGGTTGAGATGCAAATTTACCCTGAAAGTTTTCATTAAGAGGGCTAGGCACCCAAAAGTTTTTTTTGCTGTAAATTTATTAGAAAGTTTGAAATCGTAGCAATATTACTTATATTATTAAAAAACTAACGTTAACCATTAAAATAGTGATGTTGACATGCTTTGAAATTTCACATATGTGTGCGTAGGTGTGTTTCTTCCCAAGTTATGTGAAGCAAAAGGTGCGGATGCGAAAAGAGCAATGGCTGATGTGAAGAGCTCTGGTGCTGTGGCCGCATGAACGAACTACTGTGCATCCTGAATCAAAATGGACCAGCAGATCCACCAACTTGATTTTTCAATCCAAAGAACAAATAATATATATATTATTTTTGTTGGTAATATAATTGTTCAAGTTACGCTAAATGATGTAGCTGTTATGAATATACCATCAAATATATTTTGTTCATTTATTGAATAATTGTTATATATGTATAGATACATACTGGATGGACTGTTGTCTTCTCACAGGCAACAAGGCATAGCTTCCACTGTTCTATATGCATTTAATGATTAATTACAAATGAAAAGCAAAGCGTTTTTTTCCCCCTCATCATACTTATAGAAGAATATATATATATATATATAATAATCAATTCTCATATAATTTACAAGCTTTGACTTGATGTCAGTTTCATCAAGGTTTAACATTCCTTTTCCAACCTCACATGTAATAATGCTTCATTAGCTGAACGGTGCATATTAATTACTGCCTTTTGATGTGTATAATATTGACAGTAAAATTTGGGAAAGTAACTCGTCGCATTTTAGGTAATTAATTGTGTCGGTGAATACGAGATAGTTATTTATAAGAAAAGAAATTAACAAAGAAGACGGTAAATGACATCTAAGACATTGGCCCCCTAAGAAAACAGAGAGATTCTGGGAATTTTATTTTTTTCATATTTTTTAAAATTTTAATTTGGAAATTATTTTTATAATATATTGTTTCAATGGAATATATTTTAAATTTTATATTATGCAAAGTGAAATTAACTCAGTAATTAATCATATTTTTGCCTCTTCTTCAAAATCTAAAAAGACACTCAAATTAATTCATATGACAATTAGTTTAGCAAATACTGGTTTTCGTATTAATTTACACACACACACACACACACAGAATTTTACTTCTCAAATTTCCTTGAGAACTACATAATTTTGTATTCGTCTTTAATATAAAATAAGATAACTAATTTAAAAATATTAAAAAAATTAGTTAGGTTGGTTATTTATCACAAATGTGTGTTGATATCCCTAAACTATCATCTTCAATCATGTGCATTAGATGATTAGAATTATATCTTGGTGAGAATCCCTTGCAATCAATAGGGATATTTTAGAAAAAAAATAGAGATAAAGTGCATTGAGATTTTATATTTATGATTAAATTTAACTTTCAACTAGCTTTTATATTAACAAAAAAAATTAGCTCTTTTATTGAAGATCGGTGGTAATATATTATATACCTTTTTGGTAATATATATGCCTCTATTAGTGTTCATATCCATCCCTAGTATTACAATTATAATATGAACTAATCTTCAGGCGGCTAATGATGAATACATTTTGACTTCGTTAACATTAAATTTTTTTGAGGCTCTCCTCAAGTACGAGACCAAAGTTGAAAGTTTGATAGGCCAAACGAATTAATCAACAAGGCAAGTATCCAGTTTTGATTAGAAACTAAAGTCTATTCTCTTGTCTACGGATACCTACCTCTAAACCTAATTTCGTTCCCTAATATAATGCTTTAGAGGCAGTTGTGTCCAACATTTTTTTCACACACACACACACACATGCATATATAGCATAATTTAAATATGAATCATCAAAAAATTTTCATTTGTTAAATTTCATAAACGAAAGTTACATTTTTCCCTAAAATCTTTTTCTTAATAAAAATGTAATACCTCTATTCGAAAATGAAATGTTTGTCATTTAAGTTTGGGTATTTCAAACATGCCAAGAAAGTAATTAGATAATTTAAATCATGGTAAAATGTAATAATAGGGTTTCACAAAATTACCTTGGAATATATTAACTCGCTGATTTAATAAATAGCTATCTCATTGAATATGTTCATTGTTTTTATTAACTCAAAATGAATCTCTCACTCTCACTCTATCTCTTTCTCTTTGGACTAACTTTGCCGAATGAATTTTACGCTCGAGATTTCCTACAGAAAGCCAAAAGGACATGTGCTTCATGTTTATTATGTGATCCCCGTTTGGCAAGATTTATTATGTGATCCACGTTTGGGAAGATTTCTCTTTTTCCTTTCTTGTCTTTTCTTTCGTTTTCCCGACATGAAATATACAATTTCCAAGGAACTATAATGCAGTGGAGTGCGTGAAGAATTAACTGTAGAGGAAATCAGGAAATGTAATGGTTTGAGTCGTGCCAGAAGGACACTGTCCTTAAGAGATATTCTGCAACCCCTCTGTGACTCAGGAAGCGGCACCCCCAGGATTAAATGAACCCTTCTTGTTTCTCCGAACAAGGGAACAGAACAGCAAAGGAAAATAATGAGCAGGGCAAGACCACAGTGAAGGAAGGAAGACAAGAGCACTCTGCTTGCGCTTTCTCACTACGCTTTATATAGATGTGAACCGGCACACAAGACTGGAGACATGTCCCTCTATTCCTCCGAATAGACACAACAGAGACATGGTCATCTCTGTTGAAGGCAAGCATCTTGAACGTTGGGTGCCAACGTTCACCTGTCAACGAACTTCGCATGACGGTCTGTAGGCCACAAGAATTGGTAAACGGTGACCTATTCAATTTTAGATCCAAAAAATAAGGTTTTCAGGTAAGACACTTAATAATATTTTTTGAAAAATTAATTAACTTGATTTTCCAAAAAGACCCGTTACCGTATCTAATTCACGTGCTAGGAGGGCGGGATCGCCAGTTTTCAACTGCATTTCCTCTCGGTGGCCCTTTTATTGTGCGCGCAAGGCCCACATTCCTCTTGGTCCATTTACTTACCCATGGGAGCATAAGTTTATATATGCACTTGCACTTTCTCTCGCCCATCCCATGTGGGACTTAATTTGACACACACACTCTTCACTTTTCTCAACAATTCCCCACATGTGTCAAATGAAGTACCATTGAGTTATACATATGGGTATAACCGTTGTATCTAGTGTCTTTTCTGACTATAAACTAGACCTAAACCAATAACACTTAGTACATAGAGATGTTAGTGAAGCCTGCTTCTATGAATCAACAACTCTTAATGTGTACCAGAGGTGTTAAGGGTCATATTATACCCCCACATTTCTATTGTTAACCGACAGTTTTGGGTGTTAAAATGGCTATGCACGTGCTTGGTTTATAACGAATGCTCTAGAGATTTTGCCACGATCTCATAGGAGTGGCCCCACTCCACATTTGTAGAGGTGATTTCATTTAGATGTACTTGCACTACATACACACCATCCCGTAGGATTATGAAATCATTTAGAGCTTTAACTCAACCTCACCAAAATGCAGTCTAGCACTTTTCTACACACCATAGAAAGGGACTTAAGAGAATCATTCAGTGCTAGCAGAACTAACAGACGACTTGTTCTTACCCATTGAACCTCATTCATAGGATCACTAATCACAAAGGTTGGGTTGCCATCACTGTTAATTTCTAACTCACTTTAGTCCCATTTCCCTTGATGTCTCAACTATCTGTTTCCTCCCTAGGGGTTTTGTTAATGGATCTGCTATGTCTAATTCTGACCTCAAAAATCAATTGAGATTACCCTGTCTTTTAGCAGCTGCCTTAAAATATTGTATCTCAATCGAATATGTCTACTTTTACCATCGAAGGTTTTGTTTTTAGCCGTGACTATTGCCGATTGACTATCACAATGTAATGATATTGATGATATAGGCTTGTCACCTAACGGGATATTTGCTGAGAAGTTTTTCAACCACTCAGCTTCGGTTCCAGCCAATTTCATAGCAACTAACTTAGAATCCCTTAGGACTTGGTTATGATGCTTTGCTTGGCTGACTTCCAAGTGACAGCATCACCACCAGGCATAAAAACATAGCCACTAGTGGATTTTGTCTCCTTTGAATTTGAGATCTAGTTAGCATCACTGTATCATTCTAATACAGCGGGAAATCCACTATATCATATACCATAATTCATGGTACCTCTCAAGTATCTTAATAGCATTATCAGAGCCTCTTAATGTTCACTGTTTGGACAGTGAGTATATCTGCTCAACCTATTGATAGCGTAGACTATATCTAGCCTAGTTTAATTCATCAGATGCAATAGACTCCCAATGATTTGTGCATATTTAGATTGAGTAACTGGATCTCCTTCATGCTTCTTTAGATACACACTAGCATCATAAGGAGTGCTTAAAGGAGTTTCATCAGACTGTTCAAACTTTCTCAGAATTTTTTCAACATAATGTTCCTGAGAAAGTAAGATGTCATTCTCATCTCTTGTGATCTAAATAGCTAAAATAACCTTTGCTTCATCCAGATCTTTCATATAAAGTTTGAGGCAAGGAAACCTTTTGTTTCCAGTACAACATTCATACTAGTACCAAAAATAAGCATATCATCCACACATAAACAAATAATGACATAATCACAATCCACAACTTTAGTAAAGACACATCTTTCTACTTCAACAATAGAGAAACCACCACTCATTAAAACTTTATCTAACTTCTGATGCTACTGTTTAGGTGCTTGTTTTAAACCATATAGATATTTCACTAATTTGCACACTTTGTTTTCTTGTCGAGGAATGACACACCCTTTAGGCTGTACCATATAAATTTCCTCTTCTAAATCGCCATTTAAAAATGTTGTTTTAACATCCATTTGATGAATGAATAGCTATGAATTGAGGCTAATGTAATTAGAATTCTAATAGAAGAAATTTTGTTAGAGGAGAAAAGGTATCAAAGTAGTCAACATTCTCTTTTTGGGTGAAACCTTTGGCTACAGGTCATGGTTTATATTTATCTATAGATCCAACAGGAAAAATTTCTTTCTAAAGACCCATTTACATCCAATAGGTTTTGCTCCTGGAGGAAAATCTACCAACACCCATGTTTTATTTTTATTCAAAGAATCTATTTCAGCATTAATTGCTTCTCCAAAATTCTGCATCTGCAGAAGAGACAGTTTCATAAAAATTTTGGGATCATCCACTAAAAATGTATAAAATCATTTCCAAAGAAAATTTCTTTTCTTTGTCTTTTGTTCTTCGTAAACTTTTAGTCAAGTTTTCATTTAAATTTTCTTAAGGAAAACTTTCAGCTCTGTTAGGAGCATGTTCAATTTTTA